AGCCACATTTTGAAAAGGAACCGCCCTCAAACCATACAGCTCTTCCAATTGTTTAGAATGAATGTGCGCGGCACGAAGGTGAGAGCCACATGTTGCAAATGACCCGCCCTCAATCCGCAAATTTTGAAAGCGAATGTGCGCGGCGCTGAGGCGAGAGCCACATGTTGAAAACCAAATTTTGAAGGCGAATGCGCGCGACACCAAGGCGAGAACCATATTCTGAAAACGACCCGCCCAATCCGTGAGATCCTTACCAATTGTTACAACTAATGCGCGCGGCGCTCAGGCGAGAGCCACATTTCGAAAACGACCCCCGCCAATCCGTGAAACTATGGGAAGTGTTTAAAACGAAAGCTCGCGGCGCTGAGGCGAGAGCCTCCTTTTGAAGTCCATCTGTCCTCTGTGTGCAAAAGAGTTGCCAACGTTTAAACTTCAGGGTCATAAGCTGAGAGAATCTCAGGCGAAACGACTGACCCGCCCTTTCGACCGGCCTCGGGGTACGACAGGGCGGAGCTGTTCATATGGTAAAGGATTTGAGGAGGAGGCGGAGGAGGAGGAGGAGGAGGAGGAGGAGGAGGTAGAGGAGGAGGAGGAGGAGGAGGAGGAGGAGGAGGAGGAGGAGGACGAGGAGCTATGTGCGAGGAGGAGGAGGAGGAGGAGAGGGAAGAGGACGGGGTGGAGGAGGAGGAGGGGGAGGAGGAGGAGTTTTTGTCCTCGCGCTAAGCTGTTTCCTGGCTTGAGAAAGGGGCCATAGACAAGCGAGTCAACGGCTATGGCCCAGCGGCACATGCCCCGTAGACTTGAGCTAAGAGAGGCCAGTGCGCGAGTACCATCTCGCTCTGGCCGCACTTGGGGTGCTTGCCCCGAAGGAAACGGCGCATCTTGTGCTGGGCAGCTTCATTGCGCTGCCAGCCGACCGCACTCAAGCTGGGGCAAGCTTTACCCAGCCCCAGCGGCTTCGAGGTGGCATACTGGCAGCATTTTTTGCAGAACCAGAGGGTGTCACCGACCCCGGCCTCGGGCCGAGGGGTGAGCTCACAATATTCAACATCGTGGGTGTGGGCAAATTGCGTCACCCGCTTAAAACTCTCGGGGATGTCGCTTTGCCTACAGTCCTTACGGTCCAGGGCGCTGTCTGGAGTCATCTTCGACCGCAAACATCGCTTGCACTGCCACCTGGAGGGCCCGACCTGGACGAACTCGTGAGCGATCATACAGGCTGGCGTGCGGCCACTGTGCGGCCGCTTCAGGTCCTTCCACTCATCCCGAGGGGCTGGTCCCGACTCGAGCACACGGGAGGCGGCATACATAAATTGCTTTACCTTGAGAAGCTGGTCTTCCAGGCTGGCCGTAACCCGGCCCGACATAGGGTGTAGCTTGCAGGCTAGCTTGGCGGCCTGGTCGGCCTGGTCATTAAGCCAGGCACGCCAATCTGTCTCCGAAGCAGGGCCAGTTGGGACCTCGACGTGGGCTTTTTGCTTAATGAGCGCACTGTAGGCTCCGTCCTGGCGAGAGAGCCCCCTCCAGAGACCCCCAAAACGCCCCCGAGGAGTGGACCCAAACTCGGCCCCAGAGCGAGCAACCGAGAGGACGGCATTGCAGTCACCTATATCGGGGCACGAACCGTCGCTGAAAAGAGCCCCTCGGTCAAAGGCGAGGTGCTCGGCAGCAACAGCGGGCTGGGCCATGCGCGGGGGCACGGTCCCTAACAGGCGCCGGAGGCAGCCCGTGGCGGGGTCCCTTTGCACCACACCGTGCCACCCCCTCCGAAGCGAAGCGAGAATCGAGGTCGACGCCGATCCATCCCCCGCCACGGGCTCCCCTGGGACAAACGTAAAGCTGCTCAAACCAACCTCCTCCTCCTCGCCTACAATGGCCTTGACGATCGTGGCAGGGGGCGGGAGGGCGACAGCAGCATCAGGCAGCGAGGGGAGGAGGTGAGACATGCGGAGAGGATCGTGGCACGCCTCGCACCTTTTCACAGCCTCGGCCCAATTCTCCCCCTGCTCCGAGCGGCCGGCCTCGAAGCAGACGCAGCCCAGGGCACGATGGGCGGGCGTATCCGTCACCCCGCAGCGCGGGCACGCCGGCGCAATCAGGTAGCCCCACTGGTGGGCCACCTGCCTCGTCATGTGGATTCCGCCTGCCAGGGAGGTCACCACGTGCCGCGCGAGGGCCGTCACGTACTTGTTCTCCACGACCGCGCGCAGGCCTTCCCACCAGCTGCCAGGATGGTCATCCGCCAGGGCGTGCCGCGACCTGGCGGCCACGTCGGCTCGAGCAGTGGTGGTTGCCAGCACGTACTGCTCGAAATACATGCCGATCTCCTCGGGCCCGACGCTGAGCACGCAGAGCTCACCCAGCGTGGGCGAGATGAAAGAAGTGGCATGCTTGGCCTCCCAGCCTGCCCACTTCAGCGACCGAAGCATCGCCCCAACAGGCCCCGCTTCTGGCAAGTCCTTGTCCAGGTCCTGCGAGGCCACGTCGAAGGCGCTCCGCAGGTCCTTGGCGGATAGCACTCGGCCGTTGGCCTGGCGCTGAGCGGTGGTCCGCCACCACTCCTCCGCGTAGCGCACCACCCCCCATGGAGACCGTGCTTGCCCACGGGTCCAGCCTCGGCTGCAGCGCGCCGACGATGTCGCTGGAGATGTGGGGGTGGCCGTGGTGCCGCTTGACCCGAGACCTGAGCTCCTGGACCTCGGTGTCCGCGACGCCCGTGACCTCGCCGCCCCAGCAGGCCGAGGGGAGGATGGTTCAGGAGGGAAAAAACACACAGACACAATGAATCGTCGATTCCCAGGAAAAGATGGGAAACTGTGGGAAGTGGGGGGAAAGACAAGAACCCAGAAGACATGGGAAAGTAGGGGGAATCCTCTTATATTTGTGTGTCCTGATTTATTTGTGTGCCCCAGGGCCCCTTCAAGGGTGGCGTGCCAGACCCTCCCGGCACCCCGCCACTCCGGGCCACGGCCCGCGGCGCCATGCGCGTGCGCGCCCTGCCCAGCCGCGCCCGCGTCTGGCGGACGGGGCCCGCGCGCTGTACGACCCCTTGGCCGATCTGCCAGCGCGGGCGCCTCGCGGGCGCCTCCCGGTCCCGGGAGGCACCCAGGAGCGCTCGGAACTTCCGCGCCCGGAGGCACCCCTCCCCCTCCCCCTCCCCCTTTCCCTCCCCCTCCTCCTCCCCCTCCCCCTCCTCTTCCCCCTCCTCCTCCCCCTCCCCCTCCTCCTCCTCCTCCTCCTCCTCCTCCTTCTTCTCCTCCTCCTCCTCCTCCTCCTCAGGAGCACCCAGGTGAAGCACCCAGGAGCTCAGCACGGAGAACTCGAAGGGACCGCTCCGTGCCCACGGCACGATGGCGGATCTGTCCGCGGGAAAACGTTCGGAGCTTCTCGGAGGGCTTCTGGCGGCTATCAAAAGTGTTTTGTGGGGGGGAGGTCCGAAGGAGTACAAGGAGCAGCCGGAGGGAGAGGAGGCTACGAAGGACGAGGATAAGGGCGTTGAGGAGGTGATGGACGAGGAGGGGGGAGGAGGGGGAAGGAGCATCTCTTCACCTCGTTGTCATTGTCATGTTTTTGTTGTTATCTCTCTCTCTCTCTCTCCTTCTCTCTCGCTGACAATCGTATGTGCCCTGTGTTTGTTCTGACGAAATCATGTTTGTTTGTGCGTTGTTTGTCGGCAAGAGTGTTTTAAGGTTTTTTAGCAATAGCCATGCGTATCTACAATTGCAGGCTTATGTGGCACGCGCAACTATATGTTTACGAACTGCTGGCCTTCAGCGGGGCGGTGCCGCCGCCGGGCGAGGGCGAGGGCAGGCTTCCCTGGCTGGGGGGAGACGTCGATCTACGACGACGCCCTCGTGCACTTGCCCGTTCCGACGCGCCTGGGGGCCGAGGGGGAGGAGCAGGAGTAGAAGCAGGAGGGAGGAGGAGGAGGAGGAGGAGGAGGAGGAGGAGGAGGAGGAGGAGGAGGAGGAGGAGAAGGAGGAGGAGGAGGAGGAGGAGGAGGAGCTGCCGCAGGCGGAGCGCCCCCGTCGCACAGAAAATGGAGGAGGAGGAGAAGGAGTTCCTGCGTGCCGCCTCGGCCGCCGCTGCCCCGCAGGCCTCGCTCCTCGGACCATCCCCTCCTGCGGTCGGGCCGGGTAAAATTACGCATATGCTTCAATCTCAGAGGGGATCATGTTGCGCCACGACAACGGGGACCAGTTGGCCGGACGCTCCGCGGCTCGCGCGCGCGCGCGCGACGCGCCGGGGACCCCCTGGGAGCGCTTGGGGAGCCTCTGGGACGTGCGCTTGGGCCCCTTTCGGCCCCCTCTTTCGGGCCCTCCGCTGCGTCTCTCCCCAGCCACCTTCGCCCCCCGCCGGCCTCGCTCATCAGAGCGGTGGCCGTGGTCTTATATATAGGGAGCTCCACCGCAGGCCTCAGTGGCAGCGCCCGCATGAGGTTCCACCCGCCATGTCGGCGCCCCCCTCACACGTTTCGTGGCTCCACAGGGGGCTCCATCGACGGCTCCAGTGGCAGCGCCCACACGGAGTATCGTGCCCATTTTGGCACACCCGTCACACGCGCCGTGGCCCCATAGAGACGTTCGCCGAGGACGATACCCACAACTGCGTTACTCACAATTGCACATGGCTTGGTCCTGTGCCAAGATAATTATGCGACGTCAGATTTCAGGGATCAAGGGTTTGGGACTTTGTTTCGCCCCGCTTGGGGCTCCCATGATGCCTTGGTAGCCACCTTTGGGTCTGCCTCGAAATCCTGGCCAGGACGCCTCCATGGATGGGTCAGGGGGTCGGCCTTTAACTTCCAGGCTCACGCCGCCTCGCGTCGTGAGCAAGAGATTTGTCGACAGTTTTCGGCCCTGGGGGGACCTTTACTGGGCCTCGGGGCCGTCAGAAACGGTTTGGGGGCCCCTGGATGGGGTCGAGACTTCTGGAGGTCCAAGATGTGTCAAACAGTCACGACATCGAGACACCAGGGGGGTTCGCGCTGCAAACAAAAATCACAACGAAAGGTCTCCCCAGACTCCCGACCGGGAGTCTGGGGGCCGAAGATCAGTCATCGACATGGGGGCTCGTCACCCGGGGGGTCGCCAGTTCTTCCTACGGGTCCTGAGGTGAACCTCTTCGAGGAGGTGGCGACCCCTCTGGTCGTCTGGGGTGAGGTGGAGGGAAGATGGGGAAGTTCTCTTGGCCTCGCCCGGAGATCCGACGCCACGAGAACAGCACCATTGCGGAGAAACCCCGGCCAGCTCCTTGGACCCATGCTTGCTGCGGGGTCTGTCGAGCCGGATCAGTCCGTGAGGGCCCGCAGGCCCCAAACGAGGCAAGTTCGCCCGTTGTGAAAGATGAGGCGCCAGGATCTCAGCGTTGGACGTACAGTCGGGGCCCTGAAGAAGGAACCCTTTTCGTTGGGAAGGGGCTCCGCGTTCCTTAAGTGTTTCACAGCGTGCCTCAGGCTTTCCTTAGGTTTCCGACATGAGATCGAAGGTTAACTTATGGAAAAAAGGGGCCTCGTTCCTTACTTAGGGTTCCTTAGATCAACGCCCCGACTGTAGTAGCTGCGCATGGGGCGTCCTGGGGGGCGGCCGAGCAGTCCCCATCGGCCGCGGGGTGCCAGGCAGGCCGGCAACCGCTCGGAAGAAAGGGGGGGGGGGAGGAGCTCAACATGTTTAGCTCGTTTGGGGTTTCCTCCTGTAGTCTGCCTGTCCCCTTACAGGGGATTTAAATGAAAATGCCCTTCAGGAGCTTTGGGGTGGAGGTCATGCAACCACTGTTTTTTTGCTCTGGGGATTGCTCGGGAGTCGTTTTTTTCACGGGCGAAGAACCGCTGTTTTTTTGGTCCGAGGGTTGAGTCAAAAAATGATTGGCCTAATGCCGTTGAAATCAATATGATGTATCGTTTTGCTTGTAGATAGGTGAGGGTGGTCCGATTGACTTGAAGCAGGTCGCGACGTCAACAACCCACAACACATGTGAGATAACTCAGGTATTGGGCCCAATGAGAAGGCCATCTGTCTGAGATCTCGAAAAGCCCCCAAAAGATAACAGTCACGCTCAAGGCCCCCCAAAGTAAGATACTTGCCCCAAATGATATCCCAGAAACGTGTGCGTGTGTGTGTGTGTGTGCCGCAGCCCTTTGGGTCCAGCCCGTTCATCTCAGGAAGATGATGTTCGATGAACGAACTTGATGATTTGATTGAGGATGAATTGGACTTTTCTCGTGGTGAACTGGACGATTTGATTCAGGATGAACTGGACGATTTGATGCATGGTGAACTGGACGATTTCATTCAAGATGAACTCGGCACGGCGCCAGCGGAGTCGGAGCCGCCCCGAGATGCTCGCAGTCCTCGCCCACTGGATCTCGAGTTGGCAGACCTTGCACATGCCAGGCCGATGGTGTCAGCCGCGCGGGATACTCGTGGCCGACCGCCAAGAAGGCCTCTCCAAACCACCAGGTCTAGCCTTGCAGCGCAGCAGCCAGTATCTCAGGACGACCCAGCACAGCTGGTCATGCATTACGCCGACGTCGTACAAGTGCCAGCAGATGTCCCAGATGTGCCATATGATTTGGAAACCATATTACGAATCCGCTACATCGAGTTTCTCCCCAGCCCCGTGTGCCAACACTTGGAGCAGTTTGTCGGTCTTGCGTTGACACCTGGGACGCGTCTGGATCCGAAGTCTGCGCACCTTGCGAGAAACCTTCTGAGATATGATATAAGTACCGCCCAGAGGCATTTAGAAGTTCTGGCCCACGACTCGTCCATGCACCCTGTTACGGCATCCAGGCACAGGACTCTTCTTGCGCAGATTTGTTGGGATCTAGATGTTTCGAGTAGGCTTAGCTTCGATCGGGCACTGATTCGTTCACCACAGTTTTCAGCATTACACTTGTGCGAAGTCGACATGTACGACGAGACTCCGATGCCAGTGCGGTTGAGGGACAGGATCGAGGAACTTCAAAATGAGGAAATGTTTCGTGGTTTTCAGCAGTCATCCTTGTGGAACTGGAGCGATGGCGTCATTCGGTTCTCGGAGTCTGGCCCCGCGAAGCTGTTCCAAGTCGAAAGTGTTTGGGGAGCATTGGCATCGATCGAGGACCAGGGGGCCGTTCGATTCATCATGTTCACGGGGAAAGCACTGTCAAATCTCCAAGTGTTCGACCGAGTAACTGGGGAGACAACCCGCCAAGGGCTCAGGCAGATCTGGACGACATCTCACATGTGCACGGAGTACGGTCAGCGTACCCGCGGATCTGTCACGGACCGAGGGGCCGCGAATGGAGCCGCCGAGCGTGGAATTCGATGTGACAATCCTGGCTGGCAACACTTGCACTTGGACTGCCACGCCCATCTCACAGCGCTCGTGTTTGGCAAGGCGTGTTCGGCGTGTGAATGGCTCGTCACGGGCATGATCAGGACCGCGCTGGCTACGCAGATGGCGGGGTCCATGAGCCATTTCAGAAGATGCTTGAAGTTGCAGATTCGTTCGATGGTGCAATTCACTACTGGGGAGCCTCCAACGGAATACGGCTTGCATGTGCGACGCGTTGTAGCTATGTACGGGAGGTCTGGCCACAACCTAGTTCAACGACTTGTGGTGTTGAGAATGTTACCCAACGGCGATTGGACGGACAAGGCTCGCATCGTCATCTACGCGCCTGCGTTGCCGCGGGATGATGCCCAAGCGAAGCTCTGGACTGATCGCATTGTCGCTGGCTTGTGCTTCGCGGTGTGCCCACCCACGTTCAAGAAGTTCTCTCGGAACAGGTGGTTCGGCAAAGAGGTCAGTCTCGACCAAATCGGATTGCTGGAGCATTGCCACGGCCTTTTCTCGAGCACGTTCAGGAGGTGGGTATCGGAAGTGGACGGCGACCAGAAGAGGAAGCGGACCGCAGCTGCTTCTGCAGGTCCGTTCGCTGCCCCTGGAGTCCCTGGAGATCAGCCAGTTCTTGCCCTTTGCGACGCCCCAGGGGATGCCTTTGCTGATCCTGGCGCAGATGGTGCTGGCGACGGTGGCCCGCCCCTCGGCCACGAGGATGCGCAGCCACAACGTCCAGACGATGCCGAACGCGTGGTGGTGGAGGTGAACGCCCACGAAGCCCAGGAGCGTGTGAACTCTGAACATCGAAGGCGTGCTATGGTCTTCGCGAATACCGAGTTTCTGCATCACTTGGACGTCATGCGGATCGTCATGGTCCCAATCATGGAGATGTTCAGGGAGTTCGATTTCCTCGGCGGTGATGCTTGGGAGGAACGCCAGAGAGCGGTTGAAGCTGAGGCGCTTCGCCTCGGAGTTGGTGCGGAGGCTGCTCAAGCTCGGAGGACATATCGTATCGTTGTGTGTGCCAAGGGGTCTGTGGAACAGACTTTCTTCAATAAGCTGAAGTTCCTGTACAATTCATCGATCATGTGGCGAACCATTGAGGGTAAGCACTGCACTGAGTTGATCAATGCGTATGTATTCAAGACCATGTCTCGAGCTGGTGCCAAGGCCGAGTGCGAGATTGCTGCTCTGCACAGGCGTTACCCCTATCGCGCGTTCTTGCTCATAAGCGATCCAACCATAGCAGACGAGATGATCCACGAGCCCGACTGCATCGCGGACCCTTTCTGGAGAGAGTTTCGGAATGCGAATCCAGATTTGAAGTCTCCGAGTACAAGGGCTCGGCTGGTGCTCTTGGCTTTACTGCACGTCCCAAGCATCGTGAGGATCGAGGCGCTCCACGCTTCTATACGGCAGATTCTCAGGTCAAGATCGGTGACTGACATGGCGAGCTTCCTAGATACATCCAGCGATTTCTTGTTGAAACGACTTCGGAGGCGAGAGAGGGCGCTACCGATCCAGCGTGAGATCTACATGCCAAACGTGCCTCTTCACGAAGCCTCTCGAGTTGTTGCAGAGCCTGGTCGTCGTCGTGGAGGTGGTGGGGCATGGCGGGCTTACACTTCTTCCACAGGCCGTGGCCAGGTCAGGGACTTCCATGCGCTTGCCGCCCAGTACAGGGCCATCACCGACGAGGAACGCGAGTACTTCAGGAGGCTCGGCGCAGAGGGCACGCAGAAGCATTCCGAGACTCCCAACGGCCGAAGCTTCGGGCCCACTGTCAGGGATGTGGAGAGGGCGGCAGCTAGATCACAGAAGCATGATATGTGCGAAGCCTTACTGCGTGACATACAACGTGATGAATTTCAGAGGGATGCATCGCTGGCCATTGCGGACTCCGTTGTCGCCAGGAGCCGTTCGTGGCAGGATGGAGAGCACCTGGCGAAGATGGCGAAGAAGACTTTGAGCGAACACACGTCCAAGAAACGAGAGGATGAGCGCATGTCAGTTACCAAGTTCATCGAGACCGAGGGCAAGGACCGCTTGGCGTCTGTGACTGCAAGGCTGCAGGGAGCTCCATTTATTGCACGACACCTGGTACCATCTCCGAGCCCAGCCGACAACCAGGAGTTCCTTTACGCACCAGATACGATCAGTCGTGCATCGAACGCCCTCGCTTGCATGTTGCATCGAAGGGGTTCCAACGGTCGCTCCACATGTCGACTTATTGATGCTGAGTCTCGCAGGCGGCATTTCATGATTTGCCACAGGGATTGCGACAAGTGCCCGAAGGAGACCAAAGATGAGAAGAAGCTCAGGGAGTGTCTCACGGCAGGCCGCTGCATCCACCATTGTCCAGGCGGCAAGCGGTTGCGCTCCTTCGGGCTCGGAGTCCACAACATGTTGAAGATGCTGGTGCGCACTTGCAAGCAGAAGGTCTTGGACGGTGATTTTTTCATGGCGTTCATTGGGACTGACCTCGATGATATATATCCTGATGACCGCCAGCCTCTCGCCGAGGTGCTGGACAGGGTCAAGGTCGTGCACTTGGCCGACCTGTCGCTGAACCCGTTCGTGCCCGCGTACCAGGCCACGACTGCCGCGGCGCTGCCGCCGCAGCTCGGCGAGTCCAAGGACGGGCACGCGATGCCCATTTTGATCCAGGCTTTAGGAGTTGAGGGGAAGAAGGACGATGGTAATGAAGGTGATGATAAACACGATGAGGAGGGAGCGGAACACGAAGCAGAGGCGAAGGGAGGGAGGCAACAGGAGGGGGAGGGGGAGGAGAGGGGGGAACGAGGAGGGAAGAATGGAGAGAGGATAGAGGAGGGAGGGGAGGAAGAATGAAGAGCGATGGGAGGTGGCAGAACGGAGGAGGAGGATGAATAATAATGTTTAGACCCGTCACTTCTTTGATACAGTCGACGTGTGAAATATCGAAGACGCCTTCGGCGACCTCCTCCGCAAACCCTGCCTTTTGGAAATGCCAATGTGGATACCTTTTGGCCGTCAACTGGCCATTTGAGGCCGGATTCTCAACCGTCGCTGGGGCGCCTCGGGTCAATGTTGGAAGCAGTCGTTGGACGCCCTGGTCCGTTTAAACGTTGTCGGGCTCCTTGCTGCCATCTTGGGGCATTCTCAAGTCCTCTTGGGCCAACGGCGGGGCCAGTGTGGGATCCTGCAGGGGCTCTTGGGGCCGTCTCGACCTCGCGGCGTCTTGGGGGGGGCCCTGATGTCCTTCGGCGGGGGCGCGCCCACGCGGCTGCTTCTGAAAGAACGCGTGCGGATTCTGCGAAAGCGCGCGCCATCGACGAGCGCGCTTTGGCAGAAGGCCGCGGAAGGGGGCACCAACGTAGTGCACTAGTCACTAGACGTGCGGGTCTAAGACTCTAAGAGCCAGGAGGGCGAATGATATATCAAGCTGGGCCTTTCCGCCGTCGCTGCACCCCGCTAAAGCGATTGATAAGGAGGTTGGGGGGGTGGGCATGGTACAGCGCCTCACAGCAACAACGAACAGCCCCGCGCAACATTCACCAACCATTCGCTTCAAACAAAAATGTGATAACGCCTGCCTTTGCGCCACTGTTTGGCAACATATAGAATATGCTATCTGATCTATCCAAGGGCTGGCGTTGCAACGTCTGCAGCCAGCGCGTAAGCACCACTTTACGAACGCACAATCTTTAATCATCGCGCAGAGAACAACTTTTGCGAGGCCCACGGGGCGTGCCAGTGCCGCGCCCAAACAAGAACAAGCCCTTCAATTCGAAAGCATCGCGCCTCAGGCGCAAGTGGCCTACCGCGAACGCCTGCGCGCGAGCGCAATGTTTCCGCTGGAACACAGCACCAACGGGGTGCCGAGACTAAGCGGCGCCATGTGTGCCGCCGCGCAGCGCGACGACGCTGGGGACTTTGCATTTCTGCATGTGCACTCATGTTGAAGGTGCCATTGGCAGCGTGGACGCCCGCGTCGCTGCGGCCGCGTCCGCTTCGGTGTCGTCGGCACAAGTGCTGCGCGCGACGTTGACACATGGGCCGCGCCGCTTTTTGCCCTATGGCAGCCCTACCGCTATTCCTGCCGACCTCGCAAAAATACCATGGTGAAACTGACGCCCGCGTGCGACCGACTGGCGCGGCTCCACCACGCGGCGCTGCACCTCCTTCGGCGACGCCCCGCCTACCGTAGATCCACCCGCGCGCGTTCCCGCGCGCAAAGGGCAGCTCGAACTGTCGTTTCCGCTCAGGGAACGCGCTCGCGCGTGGCCAGAGCGCGAAACACGTCACTGTTGGCGTTGCCAAATCTAGCATCGGCGCGCCCGCTCCGAGGAATCTGTCCGCGCTCCCACCCGCCTGGCCACGTTCGAGGAGTTTTGCCCGAGTGCGTTGATCCTACCAGGCCAAGTTGGAGGGGTTTTGCCAGGGTTCGGCTCCATCGCCGCCCCGAGGAGCGGGCCCGCGCTGCTCCCACCAGGCCACGTTGGAGGACGTTTGCCCGAGTGCGTTGCTACCGCCTGGCCACGTTGGATGGCCGTTGCCTGAGTTCGGCCCCATCGCCTGCCCGAGTGGTAAGCCAGCGCTGCCCCGCCAGGCCACAACAGAGGACATTCGCCCGAGTTCGACCCCTGCGCTGCCCCAGCGACTGGGCCAGCGTTGTTCCCGCCAGGTCACATTGGAGGACTTGTGCGCGTTTGCGTTGCTCCCATCAGGCCACGCGCGAGGACTTGCGCCCGAGCTCGACGCAAACGCCGCCCCGAGGACTAGGTCGCGTCGCTCCCGCCAAGCCACATTCGAGGAGTTGTGCCAGAGGGCGTTGACCCTGCCAGGCCACATTACAGGACTTTGCCCGAGTTCGACCCAGGCGCGCCCCCGAGGAGTAGGTCCGCGCTGCCCCTGCCAGGCCACATTACAGGAGTTTCGCCCGAGCGCATTGCCCCCACCAACCCACCTTGGAGGATGCGTGCCCGAGTTGGGCCCCGCCGCCTGCCCGAACAGCGGGCCACCATGCGCAGAGCGTTGCCCTCCGCAAATGACTGCCGCGTCGCATGGCGTTCGTTGCTCGTGAGAGATGGAGGGCCTCGCGCGTTTCTGGTTCGAGGGGGGGCGCTGTGAAGCCCTCCAGTTTCCTCCTGGGCGATCCAAGTGGTTGCTGGGGCCCCTCTTGGAGAGTTCTGCATATCCCGAGGCTTAGCCAGATAGTTGCGCATGTATCTCAAGACGCTGCCAGGCAACGGCTCCATGGAGACCTCTTGGCGCCCCACCAGGCCCCACCAATGAATTGTTGCTTGGGTTCGGCTCCAGCGCCTGGCCGAGCGGGGCGTCGGCGATGCGCGGCCAGCCAAGCCGTATTGTGGGATTTGCGATCGGGTTCGGTTCCAGCGCAGCCCCGAAGAGCAGGCCAGCGTTGCCCCCCCGCCAGGCCACGTTCGAGAAGGGTTGCCCGAGTTCGTTTCCCAAGCCAGGCCACGTTGGATGCATTTTGCCCGATGTCGGCCCCACCGCCCCCCCCTCACCCCTTCCGAGGAATAAATCAGCGTTGTCCCCGCCAGGCCACGTGGGCGGATATTCGCCCGAGGGCGCTGCCCCCCCCCCCCCCCCACCAGGCCACGTTGGAGGACGTTTGCCAGAGTTCGGCCCCAGCGCCGCCCAGAGCAGCAGGTCAGCATTGCCCCGCCTGGCTACAGCATGGGGCTGTTGCCCGAGTTCGGCACCAACGTATCTCCGAGGGACAGGCCCGCTTTGATGCCACCAGGTCGCATCCGAGGAGTGTTGTCCGAGCGCGCCGCCACCGCCAGGCCGCGCCAGAAGACGGTTGCAGGAATTCGGCGCCGGCCCCGAGGCGCGGGTCCGCGTCGCCGCCGACAGGCCGCGTCAGAGGAGCGTTGCCCGAGAACGTTGCTGTCGCGATGCCACGTTCAATGGCTTTTTTGGCCCATCTAGATTCCATTGCCGCACCGAGAAATTGGTGTGCGCAGCCAGACCGCAGAACGTTGCCCGAGCGCGTTGCTCCCGCCAGACGACGTCAGAGGACGTCTGCCCGAGTTGGGGCCCATCGCCTGCCCGAGCAGCTGGTCAGAATTGCCCAGCCAGGCCGCGCCAGTGGACTTTTGTCCGAGCTCGGCCCCAGCGCCGCCCCGAGTGGTGGGCCAGCGGCCAGCGTTGCTTCCGCCAGGCCACGTCGGAGGACTGTTGCCCGAGCGCGTTGCTCCCGCCAGGCGCCATTGGAGGACTTGCGTGCCCGAGCTCGATTCCAGCGGCGCCCTCAGGAGTAAGCCCGCGACGCCCGCCGCCAGGCGCCATCAGAGGACGTCTGCCCGAGTACGTCGCCCCTATCAGACCACGCTAGAGGGCGTTTGTCCGAGTTCGACCCCCCCCCCAGGAGTAGTATCGCGTTGCTCCCGCCAGGCCACAGTGCATGCTTTTTGCCAGAGCGCGTTGCTCCCATCAGGCCGCGCTACATGAAGTTTGCTTGATTTCGGCCACGGGGCTTGCCCGAACCGCGGGCCGCCGCGCGCAGAGCGTTGCCAGCCGCAAGTGGTTGCCGCGTTGCACGGCGTTCGTTATTCGTGAGAGACGGGGGCCCGCTGCGCTCCTGACTCGGGAGGGGGGCGCTGCGAGGCCACTCTGCCCCCATGGGCTCTCTCAGCGGTCGCTGGGCCCCAGCTTCGGGAGCTTCGCGCCCACCAAGGTTGAGCCATATAGTTGCGCATGTATCTCAAGACTTTGTCAGGCAACGGGTTCTTGGGGTCCTCTTGACGCCTCTCCAGGGCGCTTTAGATGACGTTTGCCCGAGTTCGGCTCCATCGGCACCGCGGGGCAAACCCGCGATGCCCCCGCCGCGCCACATCTGAGGATTTGCGCCCCAGTTCGACCCCAGCGCCGCTCCGAAGAGCATGTCAGCGTTGCCCCCGCCAGGCAACATTCGAAGAGTTTTGCCCGAGCGCGTTGCCCCTGCCAGGCCGCGTTCGATGACTTTTGCCAGAGTTCGGCCCCAGCGCCCCCCGAGGAACGGGCCAGCGTTGGCTCCGCCAGGCCACGTTAAGGGATATTGCCCAATGGCGTTGCCCCCGCCAGGCCGCATCAGAGGACCGTTGCCCGATATCTGCCCCAGCGCCTCGAGCGGCGCGTCAGCATCTCCGCGCCAGGCCACGCCAGAGGACTTCTGCCCGAGTTCGGCACCGACGCCCCCGAGGGGCAGGCCCGCGCTGGCCCAAGCCACATCATAGGGGGGCGTGCCCGAGCGCTTTGCCCCCGCCAGGCCGCGCCATATGATTCTTGCTAGGGTTCGGTCCCCGCGCCGCCCCGAGGAGCGGGCCCGCGCTGCTGCCACCAAGCAGCATACTAGGAATGTTGCCCGAATGCTTTGCCCCCGCAAGGCTACATCAGAAGGCCTTTGGCTGAATTGGGCCCCATCGCCAGCCCGAGCGTCGGTCACCATGCGCAGGGCGGTGCCACCCCCCCGCGAATTGGTATCATGGTGCAGGGTGTTTAATCGCTGGCGTTTACTCGCGATGGGGAACGGATGCCTGGTGAGTGGTGGGCGGGCGGGTAGGTGGCGGTGGTGGTGGCGGTGGGGCGGGGGCGGGGGGATGGGGGGGGGGGAGTGGGTGGGTGGTGGGCGCAGTAGCGTCGGGAGCGTGGTGGGCGGGTGGTGCAGTGCGGGCGGGGTGCAGG